TGAGGTCCTTCTTGCACATTGCAGGGTTTGTCTCGGTCAATCATGTTCATCCCAAGCAACAATTTGATGCAACCAAAGGTTACCCGGGGGAAGGTCCTGAGGAGAAGCACCTGTGGTCCATTTACTCAGCTAATATTGGTTCCCTCAAGACCGCTTCATGTTGGAAGACTTGGAAGTCAGCCATCACCTGCATGCAAGAAACTAGAATCGGGAAAAACTGTATTAACAGTGCTCGTCATTCTGTGGCACAATGTGGCAAGACCCTCTTTCCTGGGGCTCTGCTTCCTGGGCTTCTAGCATCCAATGGAGTCCGCAGAACCCCTCACGGAGGTGTCGCAGTTGCAGCACCTGCAGAACTGTGCACACCGTTTGTTAGTAATGATGATGCCTCTGGGAAATACCAAAGTTTATTCAACACCAAACGTGTCCAGGCTGTTTGGGTTCAAGTTTCATCCTCCTTGAAAGCACTTGTCTTCAATGTGTACTGCAAAACTGGCGCCAGCCAAGATCGTGACATTCTCGATTCCAACAATGGGCTTCTTTCTGATGTTTTTTGCATTGCTAGTCAGTTTGGCGACATTCCAGTGTTCATTGCTGGTGACCTCCAAACAGAGCCCCTCCAATATCAGGCTGTCATGCATGCGTGCAACTTTCTGCAATGGTGTGACCCCATCGCACACCTCGACCCACAATCCGGCAACAGGCCCTTGACGTTTTCTGCCAATGGGACCTTTTCCGGCTATGGGGATGGTTGTAGCAGCATCGATGCTATACTTGTTAACAAGGTTGCTGCTTCTTCTGTTGTTCAAGCGGAGGTTCTTTCCCAATTCAAAACTCAACATCGACCCATTAAACTCACCTTGTCTTGGGAGAGGGTGTGGCAGTGTGGGTTTGTCCTCTACAAAACCGCTCCCTTTGAACTTCATGCACTTTCAACGTGTAGCGACACTCCACCTAATGAGGACCCACCATGGACCGATGCTGACGATATTGAATCGTGTTGGAATCAGACCAATCACGCCTGTATCAACACCCTTCTTGAGAACGGTGCCACGTGGGGGCCTGGCCCCAAAACTAGAGGTTTGCCTGTCAAATTCCGTCCCAAGAAGATTTGCCCGGGTCAAAAGCCTCATGGTGTTGCCACCACTTTGGTCCTTTCGTGGCTTTACAATGCCTTGGGTGGTCTCAGAGAGATTGAGCGGTTTCTTTCACGCAACCTTGCGACCCAGACCAACAGTTGGATTCAACACCGAACCTTTGTCCGTGTGTGGAATCGGTTGGCGAGGCTTAGAGCACCCTGTCTTTGGCCACCGTCCCGGAGACCCAACTTGGTGGATGTCACCGTGGCCATTCAGTGGGTCCAAGATCGTATTACCACACAGGAGATCAAACTCAAATTGCAGCGTATCAAAGCTTGGCAGGATAAGATTCAAGATTCCGCAAAGCTTGGGTCTGCCTTTTTGTTTCGCCACCTCAAAAACAAGACCCATACTGAACCTGCCAATTTGGTTGTCGATTCACTTGGGAACGCCATTTTCGATCCGGGTTTGGCGATGCATGAGATCAATAACCAGTGGGACCCCATTTTCAGTGCGAACTTGGGTTACCCTCATGCCCTTAAGATGCTTGAAATTGTGTGGCCTCACATTCATCATTTCCACCTGGATTACCCTGTTCCTGAGCTCTGTGCGGCGGATCTTAAAAGTATAGTCAAGAAGAGAAAGAAAGAAGCTGCCCCAGGCTTAGACGGGTGGCGGACCACTGAAATGCAGGTTCTCCCAGATGCTTGTTTCGCGTGGTTTGCTGCTCTCTTTCGTAGGCTTGAGACAAATGATGAACCTCTGCCAAAGATTTTGTCCACAGCAAGACAGATCATTTTAAACAAAAATGGCAGTTCCGAACCTTTGCAAAAGAGACTCATTACGCTGTTGCCCGTCATCCTCCTGGCTTACACTGGTGCGCGTTTTGTGCATCTCAAACATTGGCAAATGGTTGTCATGCCTCACCAACTGCAGGGTGGCATCCCAAAACGCCACATGGCTGCCATCCACACTCGCTTCGCCCTTTCGCTTGACCACAATCGCAACGAAAAGTGTGACCTGATTGGGGTCAAAATCGATAAAGCTAAATGCTTTGATAGGATTATCCCCTCATATGCTGCTGCACTTATGCTTGCCTTTGGTGTCCCCAAGCGGATTGTTGTCATGTTCGTCAAAATATACCAGGACATGTCCAAGCACCTTTCCTACAAAGCCTGGGTTCAACCCCAAAGCACACATGGCCCCAACGGTGTGGCCCAGGGTTGTTCTCTGTCACTTATTGCCATTAATGTCCATATGAAGGTGTGGATCCATCTTTTGGATGTTCTGCCTAGTGTCACTGCCCAAGCTTTTGTTGACGATGCTTATTTGTGGACGAAATTGATAAATAAACATCAACTTGCTCAGGCTATTCGCATTACCCAGATGTGGGATGAGCTAGCAGGTCAGTCCATGAATGCATCCAAATGTGTTGTGTGGGGCTCCTCCAGTACTGCCAGGAAAGAAGTCAAAAGTTTGTTCCCCGACATGCAATGCGCGCTCGAAATCGAGATCCTCGGTGTGCATATCCAAACAAGCAATCGCACTGCCATGCATTTCTCGGACGATAAAACTGCAAAGATTATTGCCGATGTGCGTAATATTTCCTGCCTTCCCATCTCTTGCGCTCAGAAAGCAAAAATCATAGGCGCCAAAGTGATTCCTCAGTGCACGTATAATGCTGCCATTAACATGATCCCGGCAAGAGCCCTTGCCAGGATTCAAGGCGAAATTGTCACCTCACTGTGGAAGAACAGACCCCACTGGCGGGCAAAATTCCTAGTTTTTGCTTTTCTTTGCAAGCCGCACAGAGTTGAGCCTATGTGTGCCAGACATTATAACTCCATTCTGGATGTTTGTAGGTACCTCCAGTTGTTCCCCTGTGAAAGGTTAAGGTTCAATGATCTTCTTAAGTCTTGTCACCATAAGCACGCCATTGTTCAACGAGTTAGGGATGCCTTTGCTTTCTTTCACATAGATCTCCGTGCTGATGGCATGTTGGCATTGGCTGGCAAGCCGCTGTGTGCCTTGCATCAGCTGGGTCATCGCGATGTGCGTCCTGTTCTCCAGCAACTTGCCAAGCACGTTTGTTACGAGAAAGCTGGATTACAGAGTCGTAAGGATATTAGGAATCCTACAGGCATTCTTGACTTTTGGCTCTCAACTAGCTTTTTGCGTAATCAAACAGCAAGGACGGAAGGGGAGATTCCGGATTCTGCCTTCTTCGAAGCACAGCTAGTTGGGTGTGTCCTCACCAATGACCGCCTTGCTGCAGCCAAGAGGGTTGAACATTCCACCTGTCGTATGTGTTCAAGTTCTAAGGAATCATTACCTCACCTGGTCCGAGAATGCACTCAAATTCGACATGATAATCCTCCACCGCCGGCACACGAGTTGGGTGCTAATTTTGAATTGCTTGGTATTGTTGAGCATCCTGTTTCAGTTCTTCTGCATCGTTTGCAGGTGTCAGACCCCTCAGCTATCCCACCTGGCACATGGGACCCACACCAATCCAAACAAACCTTGTGGACTGACGGGTCTGTCCAGTGGCCCACACATTTCATGCTTTCCTGTGCAGGGTTTGCCGTAGTGAACTCACATGGTGTTGTTGTTCAGTCCGGCCCTGTCCAGCATTGGAATCTTTCGAGCTATACTGCGGAATTGTGGGCTGCTATTTGGGCCTTTGCCACTGCCTCAGGTCCTATCCAGATCAGAACTGACTGCAAGAGCCTTGCCAACCACTTCAATGAGCTTGTTGGTACGGAGGACATCAAGGAGGATTGGCCGCTGACTTTTTGGTGGCAATTTGTGCTTACCCTCTTCACTGCACGCCGACAGCTGCATGCCTGTCCACTTGAATGTGTCTGGATACCTGCACACACTCTTGAAGGCACACCCGAGTATTTGCTTACACCAGCTGCAGCGACACAGCATGGCACAACGGTGACCGACATCGTTCACAATCGCCGTGCTGACTCTGCTGCAAAGAAGGCCGCCTTAAGCAATGCTGCCATCCATCAGCGGATGTACGACACACTATGCTCATGCGTCAAAGAAAGGCAAGAGTGGCTTACACAATTGTCCAAGATGATTGGGACAACTGCACCACCTCGGGAGCTTGAATCTGACGATGAGGAAAATGTTGAAGCTGAGGACCCTGTCCAGAGGTTCCCTCTTCTTCCATGGCATGAAGGGCAACAGAACTACACGTGGCAGGCACATGATTTGGACACCTTAACTTCACCTGTTGGTTGGCCCAGTTCGAACATTAACTGGAGAGCCTTTGCCACCTTTCTTTGTAGCTTGAAATGGTCAACCGACCCGGGACATAAAGTGTCCTATACTGAGCTGGCTGTGATGCTCGTTCAGCGCCGCCACAAGTTAGATCTTTTTGAGGATGAATTTTTTACTTTTGCCAGTTTGAGCAGTACTCTCAAGAAGTGGTGCCGTTTTTTGCAGAAGAAACTTGAAGGTCGATTGCTCCCTGGCAGTCATGATGCCCATGACCATCATGCGTGGGGCAAAACCATGCCGTGTGGTGTCATTCTTGGCGGACGCCCATGGCGAAGCCCCAATGAACTTTCCTTTTTGGTCTCTGTGGCCGAACGTGTCACTAAAGCCAACCTTTGTGCCTGGGACTTTGCTGTCCAGGACTTTCTTTGTGACTAGCTGTTGGATCCATCTTTTGTTTGGGAGATGTCTGCACATCTCATTCTTTTCAATGGGGATTTCGATGATCGTCTTGTGGAAAGCAAGCGATCCTGTGCAGAGGGCTACTGACCCTTCGTGTGCGCGAGAGGCGGAAGAGGTCGTTCAATCCAAATGAGGGGAGGGGTCAGGAATTCAGGAATCCAGTGTCTACGAGTCTACATCGCTGGTCAGAAAACCCTTCAGCACCCCAGCACCTCAGCACCGCCACTCCTCGGCATAGAACAAGGCCGGTGGTTGCCGGAACCCCGCACGGCCCAGCCACAGACCATCGGAGCGGCAGGATACCGCACGCACGGAGAGGGAGACCAAGCCTGGCATGGGATGCCGTGTCTGGATGGATTGGGGAATCCCAGTATAGACCACCTGGGGCACTGGCGGATGGCCGATCAGGCCAGCCAGGGGTGATTGAAAAGAGGATCCAAGGGGCGGCATATAGTCATTAGTCGTGTTTGGGATGAAGCCCATTCAGCTGAGGTTCTCCGTGTGTGCCCAACTGTGGTGATTTGTCTCACAGAAAAGGGCGCCTGATGTAGATTCTTGAGTTTACAACCTTTTCTGTGAATCCAACCGGAGCCTACATTAGGTGCCCGCAGTTGGATTGGGAATCGGTAGACTGGACTCCATAAGCTCCCCATTGAGAGTTGTAGACTCCATAAGCCCCCCCAGAATCAAGAGTCTGCATGGACCCATTCCAACCGCAGCTTGGCTTTGAGTTGAGGGAAACAAATGAACTTAGGGTCCATCCGGTTTGAGACACATCCATTTAATTTGATGTACGTAACCGTTGAGGCAGCATTCGTCAGCATTCAGCGTGCATTCGTTCGGTCGTACTTCTGACGTCTAGCCGCCGCACATGTGTTCGGTGAGTATAGCTGTTTTCGCAAGGGTTCAACGGAGTTCCAGCCTTGCCCTCGGGTATCTTGATGAATGTGTTGGGTTCAGGATTTGCTGGATAGTGAAGCCTTCTGGAAAGCCTTTTCCTCTTTTCAGACCAGCAGCTGTCATCGCCGCTTGAACTCCAGTGTTGCCGCCATTGCTGCGTAGCCTCGCAGGAAGCGGAGTCTTGCAAGGACTGAGGAGCGACGCAGCGAGGACGGCCGGGGTGCTGCTGCTGCTTTAGGTGGGTTCTGAGAGCCCTAAGTACCAGTACCTTGTGAAAATGCAGTCAGTGGGATCCGCATGGATCCGCTGTATTGAGGGAAAACCGCAAGTCGCGCTATAACTCGGTACCTCCGAGCCAAACACTGCCTGCACTGCCCAATCTGACTATAATAGCCTTCCTGCCAGGTGAGACATTGTCCTTGTGTTCAACTACTCTGGCAGTGTACATCTGTAAGAGGTATACCGATTTCCGTCTTGAAAAGCCCTCCCACGTCTGTTCAGCCAAACCAGGCAGGCTTTCCATTGCAGAAACTTTTGGACATCGCAGAAGTATTTATATACTAGATTGATTAAACAAATGTCAACGGAAAATGCAGCAACACGGAGCTCTCCACCAAGCTTGCCTCATCATGCTGGAACACCAAGAGCTGTCCTTGTAGGGTCAAGTCGAGGATTTGCAACACCAGAAAGCTACCTCGAAGTGCAGCGCAGCAGCCGAGGAAGTTGCCCAAACGATGCCCAAATGCTTTCATGGTGCCACAAAAATGGCCCACACTCATAGCTCTGGGACGGTTTCATGGACAATATAGCTCTGCCTTTGCCGTAGACAAACCTGAACATGTTCCCACTCATTCTTTATCCCATTTGATCCCCATGCATAATCTGCTTTTGGTGCTTCCTCTGTTCAGAACACCACATGATCTTGACGACGCAAAAAGATGCAAAAAGCATCCGAAGAAGTTGGTACATCAGCGTCCGCCCCGCTAGGTCCCAGAAGTCATGGGCCTTCGCCCCAGACAGTCTTGTGGCAAAGCACCAAATGTAAGGTGGCGCCAATTGGGATTTAAGAGTGTTCAGGAATATTTGTTGGAAGAGATACTATCCAATTGATCCCAATGTGCCCTTGGGATTTATCAAAGAAGACTGGGGGGATGGGGGGGATGGTAGGGGGAGGAAAAATTCATCGGAAGTCGATCACCTCCACACCGGTCCAGTGGATGGTCCAAGTGACGCGTGGCCACGAGCTTTCGCAGTGTGGAGGAGCGTTGGTGTTGGTCCCCTGAGCTTGCGAGCGACTGAGGGCCAGGTGAAGCAGTCTTCCAGGACCTTCAAAGTGACCTCTTGAGATCTCAGAATGAGAGTGTTGCATAGTTGATTACGGTGGGTTCGCATGATTGCTTGTCATCGGTGATGAGCGGGACCCGTGCTTAAATTCTCGGCACAAAGTGTCTCTCTGGCGCCCAAAGCAGCTGCCATTCTCCTCCAGCCAGTGCTTTTGCGGCACCTTGAACAAGCACAGCTCCTGTCATGTCTGAGGCAGAAGCAACTTGGTAAACCATGGTAAACCTGCTAAGGTTGCCTAGAGATCTGGTCATCCGCCTCATGCGAAAAGGATGCATTTGTCTGACAAACTCCGGAGTTCCCCCAAGTAATGCCCCAAACATATAGTAAAATAGAGAACATACACGCACAAACCAACAGCGGCAGGTAGAGCCAGGTAGAGCTCTACTGCAATATGGCAGGTAGCCGGTTTGGTGATGCCTGGTCTTCTTTTTCTCCTTGAGGAAAGTGTTGGAAGTCGCTACGAAGATGTAGCACCAGAAGATCTTTGAAGATCGACAATTCCTGCCAGAACATGAACAGACTCCTAGGATCTCCTAGGTCTCCAGCTGTCAGAGCTGTGCTAGACTGCTGGAGGCGAACGTCCAAAATACCAAGGACCAGCACCCAATGCTTGCATACCGTATCCATCTTCCAACTGAGAAATCCGCCCTTTTAAAGGCCTACGACCTAAGGCTTTTGCCTCTAAAAAGATGTGGACCATTTTACCTCTCCGCAGTCACCAGGAACTAAACAAACATATGAAACATGTGAAACATGTGCCATTGACCTCTGGTGCTTCTTCAAGTCGTCCCTTCCTTCCACGTCCCAACCACCCTCACACGTCGTCCCCCGAGCCGCACCGCGTCTTGGGGCACCAGCAGCTTCTGCAACGGTCTCTCGAGGCCGTCGCCCTCTCGGAGGTACCACTCCTGAAGGGCGGCTCCAAAGGGTGTCAGGGACACCTCCCATTGGGAGTTGTTGAAAAGCCCACCTGGGACAATCCTCTGGAAGGAGATTCTCACAATAGAGAGAGTGTTTGTATAATTATGTGGTGTCCTATTATATTTTGGGATTGGGCCTTCAACTGCATCCCTCGTGGACCTCTATTTTGGCTGGCCTCCTTCCTGGGATTACCTAGCACGGTGCTTACACCCTGGCGCAACTACATGAGGGACTTCAGCCGCTCCTTTATGATTCGAGGCTCACTTAGCACCTCTTCTCGCAGCACGGTCGGCCTGCCGGAGGGCTGTGCCCTTTCCGTTCTGGGCATGTGCCTATTGGACATGATGTGGCATCATTATGCGGCAGCATTTTGCCCTGGCATTCGGATCTTCTCCTACGTGGACAATTTGGGCCTTACGGCTCGTGATGCCGGTCACTTGGCTCTTGGGTTTGCCACTATGCAGGCCTTCTTCACGTTGTGGCACATGGAGATTGACCTTGAGAAGTCCTACTGCTGGGGCGTTGACGCGGTGGCCCGCCGTGCCTTGAAGGCCTTTCCGATGCGGTGTGTGCAGCATAGCAATGAACTTGGGGGCTCCATGACTTTTCACACTCAACCTCGTGTGGTCGATCTTAAGGCTCGTATGGCTCGGCTCGAGCCTCGCTGGCCTATCTTGGCCCGCTCCGCGGCCTCATTGTATCAGAAGCTCGTTGCGCTGACTGTGTCTTTCTGGCCCGAGGGCTTGCATGGTTCGCTGGCCTGCCGATTTGCCCTACGGCACCTGGATAGGCTTCGCAGACGGGCTGCGGCTGCACTTGGCTGGAAGTTGGCCGGCTCTTCGCCGTCCATGCGCTTCTTACTATGTCCCCTACCATTTGCGGATCCGTTGCTTTGGCATCACAAAACTGTTCTCCAAGGTTTTCGGCGACTTTGTCAAGCCTCCGCTGACTTTGTGGCACAATGGCGCCTCTTCCTGCAGAACTATGATGGATCACTGCATGTGGGTCCCTATTCCAAGATGCTAGATTTGTTTTCCCATTTGGGTTGGCACTGGGTGAATGAGCATTGGTTTCGGGACCATCGAGGACACCTATGGCACTTTGTGCAGGCGGCATGGCCTCTGCTCGAGGAGCTGCTTTGGGATGCATGGGCTTGCTTGGTGGCACAGCAGTTTCGCCTTCGCAAAACGGCCACCGACTTGGACGGGCTGGACCCTTGGTTGCACCAGGCATTTGCTGCCTCTCTGGGGGCACGGGACAAAGCGCAACTTTCTGCCATCCAATGCGGTTGCTTCAAAGGAGCGTTACTGCACTCAATGTGGGGTCCTTGACACGGTTGAGCATTGGTTTGTTTGCCCCCTGTTTTCTAGTTTACGGCATCGGTTCAGCGTTTTCCCCGAAGACATTTGCACTTGGCCCTCATGTTTCCGTAATCATTTGTTGATTTCACGGAGCTGTTTGGTGGACGAACTGGAGCACTATTTCATGCAACTTAGTGCCCAAGTGGACGACTTTACGGCTTGGCCCTCGGCTGGCACACACCATGTTTTTACCGACGGCGCCGCCTCCAAGTACAAGTCCTCACGGCTCGTGCATGCAGCTTGGGCGGTGGTGGATTCTACTTCGGGCATGGTGGTGGCGGGTGGCCCGCTGGCTGGCAAGCAGCAGTGCATCGGGAGGGCGGAGCTCACCGCCCTCCTCAGTGCCACGGCGTGGGGCGCCTATGGTCCGGTGGACGCCATGCATATATGGTGTGACTCTCAGCATGTGGTGGCCGGCGCATGCTTCCTTTTGACCCACGGTCGGGTGCCTGCCTCTTGGACTCACCAAGACCTTTGGGCTCAATTGCTGCTGGTACAGGAACACTACTCTGATGGCACCCTCTACTACCATTGGGTGCCGTCGCACTTGAACGAGGCCCTTTGCTGCACTCCTTTTGAGAGTTGGGTTGCGCGCTGGAACTCTGTCGCTGATAAGAATGCGGGTTTCTTCGACAGTGACCGAGGAGAAGGCGCACATGATTTGTTTGCTAGGGTCCGTGCTCACGACCGGGCGCGCCTCGACAAGACCTTTCAGTTTTTGGTGGCGGTTGGAGAGCATCGTCAACAGACTGCAGAGGTAGCTGAGTGGGTTCTTTCCAGTGAGCCGGAGCGAGAGCATGGTGATTCGCTATGTTCTCTCCTCCGTGAGCAGGGTGTTCGAACGTTTGAAGGACATAGTCTTGAACCTTTTTTGCATGAAGTACAGAGTTGGCTTCTTTTTCACTGTACCCCTGACAGTCAACCTCAGCTTTATAGCTTTTTAGAATTGGTTTTCATGATGGCGTTTCTTGAGCCCATGAAGTTTCCATGTTTTGCCGGAGCAGGTGGGTGTCGTCTTGATGTTGTACAGGCCTTTTTCACGAGGCCCACCATTTCGCAGCTCTTGGCTCCTTTGCGGAGCGCGATCTCCGAGCTTTGTAATGGTTTTGATGTTGATATTCAGCCTCTGGACGGTCGGAGGATGGTTGGTTTGGGGTTTTTTGTTCCTTGTTTTGGCCTGGTGCTTTGTTTGCCCAGCTCTCTCAGAGATCGGTGTGCCTCCGCTCTACGGTCTTGGACCCGTTCCCGACCTGTTCGTCGATCGGCCGATTTGGCTCGACCATTTCTAGGATGAGGACCGCAGGACTCGCCACGCAGCGTGCCGCTCCGCTTTTGCCGAGCGCACGCGTCCGCTCGTCAGAGATATATTTTTGGGATGTTTGATATGATAATGTGCAGTCTTATCTACTTATTCAAAGCCTTCCACAGCGACACATATATGATTGTTTATGCTTAATATGATTTATATAACATGTTGGAAGGACACCTTCGGCCAGCTTTTGAAGATGTACCTTTCAAGATCATCCAAAAACTGACGTCCAAATTCCAAATCCCTCTTCCCGGACGCCGTTTTCCATCCTCAAGAAGAGGATGCTTTCAATATCGGAAAGCCATCAACAAAACGACGGAGCGCAGCGATCGGCTCTGAGGACAGTTCTGCGGCATGAAAGTTCAAGGAGCGCTGCACCACTTGCAAAGCTTTGCTGGGCACATAGCCGAAGACCACCTGGGACATTGCTGGGTCCCTCATTGGCCCAAACTTGGGGGCTTGGACGGTCTGATTGTTGACCCCAAGTGTGTCAAAAGGAGGATCAACGAACAAACAACAAAAAGACACCATGAAGAAATCCCAATCGCTGGTGGCCGGGGGGCGCCTTTACTATAGGGCCCTCTTTACATTGACCAAGCCCACAACCAGTCACATCATGTAGGCCATCTTTGTCTCACCGGCCGAAAGCCTCTGGGTCTGACCCCTTTCACCATGGTAGGTAAAACCTCCCTACTAGTCTATTCTGATTCATTCTAGTAGTGGTCCACCAGGCCACATGATTTCTGCATCCAGGCCACATGATCATGTGCATCACCCTCAAAGAGCAACGGAGACGACGTGAGACGCGTGCCTCTTCGCCAGACTCGCACGCAGCGAGGATATCCTGGAAGAACAGAACGGGAAGTGTTCGCGCGTTCGCGCGTTTCCTCTTCAACCACTGACTCAACCACTGCAGTTCAGCAGTTCAGCTCTAAATCAACCTGGGTGTGCACCCTTGGTCTTGAATTCTGCATATCACACCAGTCTGTCGAGTCTGGTCAACCAAAAAAACACGGAAGTCTCAGTGTCTCAGTGTCTCATGGCAGCTCTGCCAAGGCACCAGCGTTGGTGAGGGTGCCAGGTCCAAAATCGCCGCTCACCAGGAGCACGTCTCTGGAGCAAAAGGAGACCACCTCGTGGTTCAGTCGACGGCACCGAGGGCGGACGGGATGGGACGGATCCGATGCAGTTCCGAAGAAGAAACCGAGGACGGTGGCTGTGTACGGCACTTGCTGTATGTTGCTGTATGTTGCTGTGTTGGCCAAAGCGCTGAAAAGAGCGAGTTCGTGAGGTTCTGAATGCCCACTGCCGTTGCAAGAAATTCGTGTACAAAATCATGAGATGAGAAGCACAAGACTCTTCTGTGCCGTGCTTCAGTGTCCCAAGTACTCATGGAAGCAGCTGGAAGACTCTTCAGTCTTGAGACTCTTTGCACTTTGCAAGTGAGAACTGAGGCTGCCACACTCTTTCCTTCTGGCACCACAAAGCCTCCTTGCGTGGACTTGGTCCCATCGCTGGTACCCGAGGAAGAAAGCTATGTCAGGTCGATTTCATGATGTGGGGTCACAAAAACACGACTCAAACAAAGACTTTACTGCTTGGGCCTCTTTGGCACCGCAATTTGGTGTGACAATGTATCCAACTCCGATTCCGACCCCTTCATCGACCCCTTCAAAAGTCTCATCCAAATTCCCAAACCTTTTTAATGCGCCTCCCACCCCTTTTTCTGCAACCCTGCCCCCGGTGTCTGGCCGTCCGTCCTTCCGCTTCCTCCACGAAGGCTCGGCGCGTCAAATCGAACTCCCGCGCCACGAAGGCATCCTGCCCACCGCGCGAGAGCAGCAGCATCGCACGCTCCGGCGGCTCCTGCACCGCCTCCGGGGCCACGGTCCACGACTCGAGGAGAGACGTGGAGACGGGGGAGAAAGACGGGTGAGGAAGAAGGCAACACAGGGAGCTGATCCATGCTGATCCACGTGTTCATCAGGATCAGAGGTGGTGAAAGTGGGAATTCCACGTTGTTTTTTGTTTGTTCGAGTGTGTTGTCTGTTGCTTGATCACTTAGTTTTCTCTCTGCGTAAGGCGAATTATCGCTGTGTATACCCAGTGCGACATGTGGCCTCCACGTCAAAGCCTCTCCAAACATAGCTTTCACCTGCAGCTGATGTCACGATCATGCATGGATGATCAATGTATCTTATAGATAAGACATAGACAATCATTGACATACACCAGCACCTTCAAAGGAGTCACCTGGCTGGAAGCCCCAGCCCACTTCTATCCAGGATCTCCAGACAGGACACCCTTGGGCTTGGCGGCTCGACCGCACGGACGTCGCGTCCGGTGGCGTCCGTCCGGAGAGAGCACGAAGTGGAGGGACCCAAACTGACTTGAGGGACCCTCCATACTGGGCCATCATGTAGACCCTTAATAAACAGCATTTAATAATCCCCCCTAGGATATTGAAGAGAGGTTTCAATCCAAATGGAGTGGGTTAATGAATCAAGAGTCCACATTACTGCTTAATTGCTTCTTCAGCCACCCGTGACGGGAGCCACGAGCCACGTGACCTTCCTGCCTTTCACGTGACAAACCGGGGCTGCAGTCAGTGACTGAGCGCGACGAGAAGAAAGAGCGCGGCCTTCCGCTCGGCAAAGCTCGTCCAGGTCCAAAACCACCTGCATCAGACGCATGTGGACTCTCTGCAAGCTAATGTAGGAAAGAAGGACCGGCAAACTATGGCGAAAAAAAGCAGAACATGAGCATGCATGCTGCAAAGGCTGCAGCAATAAAGAAACTTCTGAAAAGGTGGGCTGAATTATATAAAGTTCAATCATCTACTCTGTGGGGCGCAAGAGTCAGTATGGAAGCCAAAGTGCAAGGCACACAACATGTGAGGGATGCCCTGCACTCTCAAGCATTCGAACATTGACAAGTGACCCAGATTCAGTGTGTCGAAGTCCAATCTGCAGCACTATATCTAACATTACCTAACCACAAATCCCAACAGTGTAAAACATAACGAACGTGAACGCAAACAATGCTGCTCATCCACCACCCCCACACCATCCTGACATTCTTTCGGCTTCGCGTCTGGAAAGCTACATACAAGCACCTTCAAAGGGGTCGCCAATGGAAGCCCCTACACTACCTAGGGATCTCCATTGGACACCCCTTTGAAGGTGGTAGGTGAAACGTCTTCCAGTTCCACTGGATGCCCCTTCTCGACTGGCCTCCCACACCGGACTCGCGGTGAGGAAGCTCTCCAGCGAGGTCCGGCGCCACACGCCGCGCACGTGGGAGGCATCCGACCTGGGGCGGTGGCGTCCCAAGTTTCGCCGGAAGAGACATCCAACAGAGGTGGATAGTGACCTTATAGAACCCTACTGGGGCACCTATAGGATAGTCAGAGTCTGGGTTCTGACCCACCTCTGCTGGATGGAGGATCATCAGGTGTTGGGTCAGAGATAGGGAAGGGACACCCCCCAAGAATGATAGCTACACCACCCAAGCTGGAGAGCTACAAGTCGGGTCCAAATGACACCGGGTGACTGCCCCGTGGGAGGAGGGTTTGGCGGGCCCCAAGGGAGATGGTCTCCAACGCGCGGCCCCAGGTGGCAGGTTGGAATGGGTTGGATAAGACGCAGTTTAACTTCACCCGACACTTGTCAGATACATATATTTGTATATTATATATTCTTGACTGCTACTTGTAAGAAGATTAGAGATCCAACTGTTTCTTTAGGGTCATCTTTTGTGTATAGATCAGAGATGGTCAGAGTGTCTTGGACATGTCGGGCACTGTTTCACAGTGAGCGTCCGATGCGAGAGATAGTATAGTAAGAAGTATGAAGAAGGTATATGTTTCATATGTTTTCAGGATTCGGACCAGGCATGAACATATGGTGGTTGATCTAAATTCCTTTCATCTGGAAAGTGCCTCTTCGCGAAAAAAAAGATTACTTTCGCGAACCCCATGTTTAACTTTCGCGAACTTTCGCGAAGTATGATCTTACATATTCAGAAGAAGTTCGGGTACATGGGTATATATAGTAGTTAAAGGAAGACTCTGATTTCCTTCTGAGCTGGTGGTCTGAAAAGATCACAGTAAGCAAACAAATAAGGGTCCCTTTACCTACAAATAACATACATGGTTACATGAACTTTCGCGAAAAAAAAGATTACTTTCGCGAACCCTGTGTTTAACTTTCGCGATCTTTCGCCCGGTTGGTACTTAGTAACCGAAATGGCTGTTCCATATGAAACTCCTTTCATGGACCTTTAATGACCTTTAGATCGATGCCCATATATCTTCTTCTCTCCCTGGCTCAGACGCCAACAGCTTTTCGATGCTCAGCTTTCGCCCAGCAGCCAAAAGTCGTAGAAGTAGCCTCCGATCTCGGTGGCTTGAGGCAACTTGCCTGAGTCAAAACCCATCAAACATAAGGGCCGCACAGGGAGTGGTAAGGGCCGTACAGGGAAGGGTGCCTCAGGGCCGTGCAAAAAAAGCATGACATTGAGTGGGAAGGAGCCTCCAGGGCTTTGGAAGCTCGGCAAACTCAGATGCCGAGGCATCTTAGGGTCCAGGGCCCTGTGTGGTGCACAAGATCTGACCGAACATGCCGCTCCGGCCGCGCCCGAGTCTTTTGCGAGGGAGCTCAAGGTAAGGGTGTCCAAGCATCGGATCATCAAACCAATTGCTTGTTGAACAAATAGAAACTGAAAAGCAGAAGCCAGTGCCTCCTGAATCTATAGATTACATGCATTTGGTGCATAATTATCAGTAAACACATGCGCGCACACACACATTTTGATACATCGCCATGGTAAGTTACTGCCACTCGCATCGGTCGAAGTCGATGGCGCGCTGGACACACAGGTCCAAACCCGCAGTGTCCCCACAAAAAGCATGCACATTTCACACATCCACGATCACCCTGAAAAGCGATCCGGAGCGACCATCATCTCACAACATATTCATCAACTTTCATCATATCTTTCACAACATTGCTTCTGGTCTCGTCCGACGAAACACATTGACCCAACATCCTTCTGGCTTCGGCTTCGCCCGTGCTTCGCCCGTGCGTTTTAGCGAACGTCCGACCTCCCGGTGCCCGCCGTGCCACGCAGCGGATCCGCCTCGGTGTCGGTGGTCTCCGTCTCGCAGAGCCGCGGCCAGAGCGGAGAATGCCTGCATGGAGCCAGAGAGAACAGCAAGCGAGCTGTCTCAGCGCAGGAGGCGAGAAGTTGATGCTTCCAATTCGACCGAAGTGGAGAGTTTGTGTTGGGTTTGGATTGGTTTGGGTGTCTTCGCTTTTTGGAACCTGGAGGGGGCCCGAACCAATTCAGTGCTTCAGTGAGTAGGTCGGTGTCTTCCTCTCTTTCGAAACGCGAGCCGAGCATCGGCGATTATCATCTAGCTAGTCACTTCTGGTCACTCCAAATTCTTTCCTGGAACTCCCAAACAACCAGAAACAATATGAAACAATTGGATGTTCCATATTATGGCGCCAGCTTGAGTTCCTTTACATAGCAAGTGGTTGGGACTGTGGACACATGAATTTCGGATTGGGACTAGGGTTCCTTGGGGTCTTCTTTCATTTAAGCAACCAATTCCTGGATGTCAACTGTCAACCTACGGTTTTGGCTGGGGTAGCGTTGAGGAACCCTCACAGCCATTTGGTGGTCCGGCTTCTCAATCGATCCTGTGAGGAACTCTCTTTCTTCCGTCAAAACAGCCAGCTGTGAGGAACCGACCAGCTGGCCCTCAAATGACCTGAGTTCCGACCCTCTTTCGGACCCCCGCGGAGGGCCCCGAAGCCTGGGATCGCCCAGCTGGGACAAGCTCCGCGCATTCTGCGCCTCGACCCAGGATCTCACCGCTGGGGTCTCCAGCCTCGTGTCGGTCGTTCGCAGCGATGGATGACCAGTCGGGCTCCAGGTTTTCAACCCATCCCGGCCCATGCCCATGCCCTTTGGTGTCCAGGTGTTTGAACATGTTTGAACAGCTCTGTTGAATCATAATCCTAGGAGGGCTGGCCAACCCGTGCCGGATCATGGGTTGGCCTTGGAAAATGATGGAGAAACTTGCACACGCTTCCTCCAAGGGTTTTTGGAACACAATGGTTGCGAATCCTGTCACCCCAGTACGACAAACAAAAATTTGGCCTGAAACTGCATGTGGAAAAAAATACATCGTCCTGCAGTGTGTCCACAAGCTTGGCTTTGAGTCTTGAGTCTCGGAACGTCTATAGACACCCGTAATATCTAAGATATATCAAGTAATTGATTAGCCTTCTTCAGCCGAGGTGCTCTTCTAACCAACACAAAGGGTCTGCCTGCGCCGATCTGGTCGCCGCTTTGCCGCTTTGGAAGAGAGTCTGGGCGATGCTGTGCATCTGAAACGGACGCAAACCAGTGGTTTAGCGGATGTACCAACGGGGTACTGGACCAACTTCGGGCCATTGTAACGACGCAGAGTTGGACCAAAGGTGTTCCATGGAAGCAAGAAGACTTTACGTATTGAACCTTCCAGCCTCACTGGGCATCTCTGAGGACACCGACTCATCATTTAACGACCTTCAGATGAACCCCAAAACGACTGCAGGCAGAAATTGTTGTTTCCCGGTTCCCCCCCGTCGGACTGTCTATCAGTTTCTTGGGTTGCTCGCAAGAAGTTCCTCCACCTCCGGTCCAAACCACCCTGGGCTCAACAGGTCCTGACCATCTCCCATCGCGCCACTTGCCCCCGACCGCCTCGACCGCCTGACTGCGCGCTGACCGGCCGCTGCGAAGATGCTGACGTCTGACGGCCAGAAGCGCCTCAGACCGCGGCCCGAAGGGCCTCGGAACAAGACCACCCTAGGAGCATGCCCAGGCCAAAGGCCAGGCCAAATGGCCAGTCATTCAAGTCCCAGGGTCCAAGCCGAGCTTTGGTGTTTTAGAAGCCCACAGACTTTATCACATGTTCAGAACGGACGTGCGCCCAATGCCTTTGATCGTTTTCCTCCCACCTCAGCAGTTCAGACGGGCCACGCCGGCCACACCCGGACCCCAACGTGCGCCCCTCAAACGTTCGCCACGTGGGAGTCCGGAGTCGACCGTTGGAGCCGGTCTCGGCTCACAGAGTTTGGCGCACCTGGTCCAGGTGAGAGATCCGATGTCACCACCGGTCTCAACAGAAGTATTCAGAAGCTGCTTCAGCTGGTGGAGTTCTGATGATTTCAGCTGATTTCCAGCGAAACTGCCAAGTGGGCGGGAGAAAAACAGACCACTTCGCTTCAAGATTGTCATGTGCTGTACTGCAAGGGTCATGCCATGCGCCTTTCATGGGTTGCTTGGATGCTACCCACCAAGCGCAGCTGCATGCTTGGATGGAGCCATGGCGTAGACGTAAATCATGTATGACTGTATGTCATTGATATCATGACATCTGATTCACATTGCCCAAATTGTCCCGGAAAGCCTTGCTGAAATGCTATGTGTTTCTTGTGACCCCCTGCTGCGTCTCCAAGGTTCTGCAAGGCTGGAAGGGTCTACTGTGGAGAGAACAGACCTTTCGCAGTGAATGTCAGTGGGATGTGGACTGATTATCTTAACTGATGTGGGCCAATCAATGTCCTCAAGGTTTGTTGGAATAATCACGGCGCTTTCCGCGAAGCGGTCCATCAAGTGGCAGCGTTGGCAGCGTTGTGGCAAAATCCTTCCCAGCCAAAATGAATGGATGCTACGGATGCTTCACAGTTCATGCAGCTCAGTCAAAATCTACAACTTCAATGTCAACTCATATATCGAATAACCCAGTGGATAGCTGAATTTCAACAACAAATCGATGCTGCTTTGGAAATTTTGAAGAAGGATGCACATCAGCAAAGTACACCGCAAAAACGCTGAACTAACTTCAAAGAAATCCAGCTTAAGGACAGCACACAACACACACACACACACACACACGCAGACTCACTCACAAACTCAAGCGATCGCCCAAGCCTCGTTTTTTCCTCGCGCGCGAATCGCGAGCGTTCCTCTCTTCGACGCAGCGGTCATCGTCCCCTTCGTCGGGACGCAATCCGTTCGTCGGGACGGCGCGTGTCCAGCAGGTTCGCCGAAAACCGAGCGGATCCTGAAGGACCGCAGTTTGGTCGACCCGGAACGTTTCCGGCTGATCGAAGAACAGCTGCCATTAACTCAACCGCACCATAGAAACATGATTCGGAACCATTAGAATGACCATTACTTTATATTGCACTTAAAAATACTACAAATAGAATATATAGATTTAATTATATAGATCATGCTGATTCAGGATGGACATCGTGTATTTTGGTATACAGAAACACATGCTCCAGTGCTCATTGCCCTATAAGAACCGCCTTAATGGCACGGCAACGTGAGTTTGGCGGGATCGAGCTGCACGAGGTTCCGAGCTCGGCACAGCCCACGGTGGGTGGGGGAGAAGCACAGTATGACGTTCATCTATCTCAACCAGAACAAAACATAACAAAACCCAGCCTATTGCTGATGTTTATAGATGATGAAATGATGTGCGTCGACATGTTTAATAATATGTGTGTGTCACACGCGTAGCACCCAGCAACATGGAATTCTTGCGCGACGAACTCGGAATGTCGCCAACACTGAGGAAAAGCGACGGCCGTTTCACGGCGTCCAAACGCCCGTGGCACGAAGCTCACCAGAGTTCATGTCCCACTTCTTTCATCGCCCGTTCTTCGAACTGAGGCAACACCTGACACGTCGACGGGGTTGACATGTTCTTGAAAGCATTGCTCTACACGGCGTTGACATGGGATCTTGCATGACCCAAATTGCTTGGACCGAATTACACTGGTGTGAGAATCAGAACGAAACATCAGTTTCAGCAAGAACACACATTCTGAGCCCTAAGTGAGCCCAGAAATGCTCAATGTAAACATATTAGACCTATTTAGACCTATTTAGACCTTCATGATCCTTCATGTCTTGCTTGAAACCCGGTCACCCGGTCACGGGTCCAATGAACAGATTCCTCCATTTAAAGAGAGGTCAACCCACCAGGGCTCCGGGTTTGGTTTGCACAGCCTGTCACATCGTCTTGATTCAACATGATTCAACTAACCTTTGAGCTTGTTGAGCTCAGTACAGAAACAGATTCTGTGAAAAGGGTGCGCAACGCGCTGACACAAAGCTAGTAGCTGCTCTCTAAACACATCCAAACAATCAGTCCGCTCATTTGCTCGAAGCTCTGTTCAGCCCAAAGTTATTAGCACTTGTCTTACCCGTCCGTCCAACCCGTTCGACAGACAGTGGCAACATGTGGAGACGGTGGCGACATGTCCTGACAACATGCTCATGGCATGATCATTGCGAAGCATCTCATGATCCCCCAAACAGCGCCTTACGCACACCGCGCACACCGAGAAGGAGAACAAGCACATGAAGCTCAGAAGCTCTGTATACTGACCTGTAAAACGCATCAAAGGCGACAACAATTCCTCACAGTCAGTCATGTGTCTGGTCCAAAGAATATGTTCTTTCGATGTGCTTTCTTGACTCTACCAGTACCAACGCGCAATGAACGAATCTCACTGTCCGAACGAGGGGGGACTTGACTTACATGATGACCATTCATGACCATTCATGACCTCTAACATCGAATCCTTCATTTGCCGCGCACGATTTCTCTGACAACCTTGCTGTGAATCGCCGTGGTCGGCTGGATCGCCCCACCTTCGGTCATGCTTCTCACCGACCTCCTGAGGTGGATGCCACGTCCGAAACGATGAGCATGGTCAAATCCTGGAAGTCTGGAGACAGATTTGATATGAAGGTATACACCCTGGAAGACTAACATGGACCCTGAAAACCACTGGTTGGTAGAGGATTTCACACTCTTCCAGGGGGCCATTGTCAGGGTCTATGTTAGTTTCCGGGAGTGTAATATAATGATATATAATGATGGATATAATGATGGTATCTCAAATGAGAGGATGCCTAAGGTATCCTAAGTTGCTGTCCGTTGCCATTATGGAGTGATTGATCAAAGGTCCTAAGCCAAAGTGGTCGGTGTGAAATAGAATGCATCCAAGAAGCAAACAAATTTGACACACGGCATGAACAGGCACGATAGACCGGGAGCGGAAACATGATACCATTGTAGACCAAACGACCAAGCAAAAGGGTCTTCTGTGTGTGGAAGCGGAACAAGATCTTTGGGCTGTGCAACACCAGCACGGTGAGGTTAAGTGAGATAGAGAATAGGAACACCAAACATCTCTTGGCAACTTCGAAAAGCCAGTAACAGCGATGGTCACGATGGCAGCTGTCCAGAGCATGATTTCCAATTTGCCAATGATTGTCAATGATTCTCGTTTCACCTGCTTTTTGCAGCCAACGCGCATTTTGAAGAACAAAGGTACGTGCTGAACCAATTTAGTGACAATTTCGTTCACGCATCACACACCCGCACATCGAGTGCGTCCCCAGCGGGGGACAGTAGAGCACGGCGGCAGGTTGAAGCGGCTTCAGGTCAGATCCAACTGCATTCTTTTGCCAAAGTGCGCACAGGGTGTCACTGCGTCTGCTTACCCTACAGGCAAACCCTTCAGCTGAAAAGCTAAGTACCTAGCAAGGTTTGGAAGCTCACTGCTTAAGGCCAATGATGTGGGGATTCAACAAAACTCCTTGATGTCTATGACTCTATGACTACTGTTTGGGGCGCCCTTGTGAGGAAGACAAAAAGCTTAAATGATAGTCAAATGAAGCTTCAGTGAGTCAGTGGCAGAATGATTGAAGTTTGCTCTCAAGTATTTTGATGTGAAAAAGGGACGCCCCTCGGACATCAGCAAGCTGGAAAAAGCTCATCCAAGGCTTTAGGATTAAGTCCCCAGTTTACAAAGTAATCCCGAGTACCTATTTAAAAACTCTACCCAGCTTATGAAGACTCATGTCGGAGACCCCTAAATACGGATGTGTTTTTAAATTTAAACTTCTATACAAACATAATTAGGTCAGATTTGGTGTTGACTCTTTATTAGGTACCCACCCACTGGAATCACTAATTGTGATCATGCCCCTCACTAGCGCCACGCCGCAGAAAAACACACGCATGTGCACCCTTCCCCAAAGCCACAGAGCCACGCAAAATCAATCAAAATCATTTTCCACCAAGGCCGCACAAAACCGCATGACATAGCGACATCACCTTTCGAAATCTTTAGTTGTTAGTCTGATGAAACGTTTACAAGCGAAGAATATCGAAGAATCACTACGTATATACTTTAGTATTTCGTAAAAGGAAAAAGGAAGATCCTTCGATGGAAGATCCTTCGATCTGGAGTTTTTTTCAATTGTTGATACGAGTTCATCTAAAAATTTCCCAGGCGACTTGTCGAATTGCAGCTCGACACCCCACGTCCATCTTTGCAGGTTCTTGTATTTTGGGGACCCCTACTATAAGAACAAGGACTGCGGAGGTGTTTTTGTGGAACGGGGGATTAAGGGGGAACCGGAGGGGGAACCAATGTCTTCTAATGGGTGGAAGGGATTAACAATTACTACAATACAGTATTACTTTGCCGACCAGGATTGAACAGCTTGGATCCCAACTGCCCCTGTTCTATTCTGCTCCAACCTCTCCTGTGCCAATTAATCCAGCGGTGGATTCGGTGGCTGATTTGCTGCCTGATTCCGTGACTCCTCGCCATGGCTGAAAGCCGTTCCAACTGCCGTTCCATTGTGCAGAATTGCTTTTGCAATGTCTCGCACTCACAGAAACATAACCGACAGTGATGGTCCTTCATGAGGATACTTCCTGCCTGTGGCAGCGCCTGCCGCCTCCTCACTCGCAGCCTCGAGACAATGTTTGAGACCGTCTTCGCTACGAGGCTAGCAAAAATCATCGAACATCTTCGCTGCCAAATTGCCTAAACAAAGAAGTTCAGAAGCCAAAGTCATTTTCTCTCGTAAGAGCATGTATGGACATGTAAGCCGAAGGTCCGGCTCTTGCGAGCGGCATGTATGGACAAACACATCACATGTGTGTTTTTTTGCCGTTTTGTTGAAGCAAACGTTCTTGAGGTCTGCACACATCCTCTGTGTGCCTGACCAACATCTGAAGACCGCAGGCTACATGATTGCCCAAATGTTTTTTTTGAAACCAAAAGGTTCTGGCATCTTATGGCTAGCGGCTAGCATAATTTCAAGTTGCTGGGGGAAGAGGATTTCTTCGGAGAATCTGGATCTTTTTCCACATGAAGATGACAGTCTGCTGTACTGCAAGTTACTGCTTGGGTGGGTTGAACACCGTGGCTACACGACGATCGAGATCCCCTGCCTATCGTTCTTGGGAGTCTTTTTCTGCGACCTAGAG